AATCTTCAAGGGCCAGACAGGCCTTGGAGGCAACGCAGGTGGAGGAGGATCCTGCTTGGGAAGTCACATCGGGACCCAGTGTGCTGGCCAAATCCCAAACCTCTGACGTGGATCGTCGGAAGAGATCAGGGTTTCCAGCTACTTGTAAAAGCTTGTCACCACCAACAAAGTCAGCTGGCCAAGATCCAAAGAAGCCACGGCTTAAAACACAGGCTAGTGAGTTTGAGCTCGGAAGCAAAGTGGAATCAAAGAATCAGCCTCAAGGCCATGCCACTGGTGATCTCCGTCCAGATTCTCACACTGATAACCTCCTTCAGGACCATGCTACGGGCATGCTCCTCCAAGACTTTGCCTCTCAAGTGCTCCTTCAGGGCCCTCACACTGATGTGCTCCTTGTGGCAGACATCTTGGCTTCTTGTAGGTTCCCGTCCAGTCCCCTAGGGGCACATGCTAGTGGGGGGGCACCAGCTTTCCAGGCGCTATATGGCCTCAAAACAAGTGGACAGGGTAGCCAGGGACAGCAACAATCCAGAAAACCCAAACTTAGGGACCCATATAAGAGCCAAAGTGAGGTGCCTGCTCCAACTAACGAGCAGAGGGCCATTAGGAGACTCCAACCCGGAGAGCATGAAGAACCGAAGAGCATCCAGGGACCACAGGGACCTGGGAAACCAAAAGTTAAGGACCCGTGTAGGGGCCAGATGGCCTCGTCTGATGAGGGAGCGGTCTGTGCACGGCTCAGACCAGGGGAAGATGAGGACTGGAGGGCCTTTAAGAGGCTCCAACCAGAAGAGGATGAAGAAGCAGAGGCCCAGAGTGAGGTGCCTGCCCCAGCTGAGGAGCAGGACTGGGGAAGCAAACCGGGAGAGCACGAAGAAAGGTCTTCAGGCCTGAGAGCCCCCCAAGCCAGTGGGCGGAGCCTTCCTCCCCCGGCCAGGGGAGCTGGAGAGTCCCTCGGCAGGAAACACCTCCAGCCAGGGCAGGGGCACGTCTCACCAGAAGGCCACTTCAGTAAAAGGATGAGGCACTTTCATCAGTGCCTTACTCCCAAGAAAAAATGCAAAGAAACGGAAGTTTTCCTTCAAAAAAGCAAGCCTGCATCTAACACTGCTCAGCGCCAGGAGCCCAACAAAGGCAGATTTGTTACGAACAGCGCGACTGTTGATGCTCGGACAGTCGCCAC